AAATTTTCCATTAGTGCCACTCGTTGACTAAAATATTGTAGTGGAACAGCTTTTTTTCTATTTGGGCGCCCAAATGTGTTGAAGTGAAAAGTCAGGCGTAGAACTTTTATTTTTGATTTATTTCAATTCAGAAACATTAATGTTTTCAGATTAAAAGATAATAAAATAATTTTAAGCTTTATGAATATTTTCGGTTATAAGGATTATAAATAGTATGCATTAGTTTTTAGATGCATTTTTAAACTAACATATGTATAATATAACATATCACCTTATCAAATGAAAGTTAATTAAATGATCGGTATCGGTATCGGTGCTGGCGGCTCACTGCGTGATAGGAAAAACGATATTTTGTTATCATTTTTTTCGAGATTGTGGCTCTGCTTTCTAGACAATAGTAAAGATATTACTTAAAAAATACTTGAATCATAAATTTTTTATTACTTGAAAAATAATACAAGCGTGGTTTCTAAAGGTTCAATTGTAGACTCTTCATCTCGATGAACTGCTTAAACCCGATTTTAGTTCATTTTATTATATCTTTTTTTATAATAATAACCACGCTTTGGAATTGAAAACTGATGCTCGTTAGAAGTTCAAGATGGTCGCTTATTGCATGATGTCACAACCAAGCTGATACAGCCTTCTCTTGAAAACAGTCTCTGGTAAACGTGATTTTATAATTGCACTGATTGTATAATCAGTGTAAGTATTCAATAGTAGTATTTCAGTGCGCAAAGAAAGGGAATGTTAAAAAAATATTTTATATAATAATGTAATAATAAATATTATGATTTCATACTAATATAACACAGCTAGTGAATTAATTAATTAAATTTTCATAGTAAATTAACAGAGTTCCAAGTTAGATCATATAAGTTAGGCACAGCTTTGGGACACCTGGCTAATGAACATTGACTCTAAGCTTCAAATTTGGCAGGCTAGGAGTTGAATTCTTGGTACTTGCAGTCTCCAAAAATTATTTATGAACAATTAAATACAAGAAATATTTCCAAGAGATCGCTTATGATGGGTATTTGTCAATACTCGAAACAGCTGATAAATAATAAATAAATAATAAATAATACAATTTTGTTCTTCTAATTTACTACTGTTTAAAATAGTCTTTCGTCATAAATGAATGTAATTTTCAAAAATGAATATTTATGTTTGGTAGTTGAGAAGCCAACATTCAATCAAACCAAAAAGTTAAAATTTTATTGATCTGATTTTATTACTTATATACTTATATGTATACTTATCTATATATATATATAGATAATATGTTATATATATACTTATCTAACATATTATTACCATTTCGATAGAGCTTTTCGCGAGTGATGAGCGCTTTGAACTTTAAACAAACACCGGTGTTGATATATATAGCTTTCTTAAGCTATAGTTTAATAGCTATATATACTCGTAGCTTTCTATAATTCAATTATAGTCAATTATAAATACATTTTCTTTACACTTTATAACCATTTGAGAGATTATAGATATGGCAGTTAAAAAGACCGATAATCAAATATTTTCATTTTTGAATTATATATAGCACTGCATCACTGATATCTTCACTACAGTGCAGCCAAAGCTAATTCTTTCCTAAATATTTTGTATTTTTGTTTAATATTTTTTCTTGAATATCTGATGCTTGCTATAGTACCTAACTATGGTACACAATCGAATAAAAATAAGTTAACCATATATATTTTGTTCATTGCACAATTTGATTTAAACCATTAAGCATTTTTTATTTCCATAATTTATAAACTATAAATGTGCAACGGAAAATGTATCTAATTACATTTGCATAAAGTTAGTCAACAGTACAAAAATTATTCACATAAGCAGATGCACATCCGATAGATTTTTTATATGTTCCTTTTAATTATTCACAGACGTTAACAAATATTTGTACATGATTTAAATGCATATAAACCAGAGATATTGTATCTTGTATGTGAAAATGTTAGTTAGTATGTACCATATTTCAAGCGGTGTGTACTCTTGGCTTAGTTTAAATTTACGTAATAAATATTGGTTTTGTGTGCAGCACAGAAAATTTGAAAATTTCCAATTTTGTGCAAGTGCACACCAGCAACTTAGCTGTGTGCAACCTGCACATGCAATGTGTGTAAATATTTAAATGCGAATAATTAATTTCAATTTAAGCTGCAACGGAAATGAATTAAGGGCTTTACTCGCTTCTTTGCTACTTTGCTATTTTGCTTTTCGATATTATCGCCTTAATTAAGATTCATGATCGAAATGAATACAATTCGAAAACGATTTTGTAATAGAGCCTCTTAAATATTGATACTTTAAATATGTCCCAATGCTTTAAAATAATATTAGTTTAAATACATTAGGTAAATAACTAATTTTGGATGCTGTGGAATTGACACCAATTTTACATCCATTGTTAATATTTGATTAAAGCTTACATAAGTTTCTAAAATAGAAAGTGTTACTTTACTAATTTGTGTTTAAACTGGAGTCAATAAAGTTTTGTGGCAGATATTTAATTTCTGAATTGAAGTTGTGATTTTAAAAAGTCAATCAAAGTTTTAAACATTGGAGCTATGAAAATCAATCATCATTCTGCGAGTTGAATTAAATTGTCCATTGACCGCTATACCGCATATCAAGACTGGGCGCAATTTTTTTTCGCAATAGGTGGAAAGCATCAACAGTCAAATAGCACTCAGAATTTATACCTTGTTTATTTGTTTAAACGCCCGCAGTGTTTAAACACTGCAACGAAACGCAGGTAAAAGCTCTGTCTTGTTTCACTGCAGCACTATTTTTGGTGGCGACTTAGTGTTCAGTTTGTGGTTTTACACTGCACTATTTCCGCGACAAGTTCGTCGCTTGTGATACCACAAAACTGTAGAATTTCTTTAATCGACCATATCTTATCGATAATTAGATAGATGAATTTAATGATCATAAATCATTAAATTACTTTTCCTTGCCGGATAAGGTTTAGATAGATTTTATTTACTTTTTATAATTCTCACTTTGTTTGAAAATAATCATTTATATAAAACATAAGCATTGTAATTTTAAGGCGATGAGTAATTTGTTACGCAGTTAATACACATTACCAGGATTGTCTACAGACTTTACAAAAAAACTCTTTTAAGTCAGGTTCCATTGTACTTGTCTGTAAAGGTATATATAATTGAGTGACTTGTTTGACATCTGATATTTGATAACATAATATTGATTTTGGAATTACGTTCTTAATAAATATCAAAGAACGTTATTTTTTTACATACATCCAATTTCGTACATAAATTCATTTCCTTGTATAATTATAACATTTTTCAATTGATCTGACTAATATGAAATATGAGTTATATTGTCAGAATAACACAAATCAGGAGTAAACACTGCTTGCCGATTGAGAGCATATACTTTAAAATTGAGTATTTCCTTCCAGGAAGATATGTATATTGGTTTTGAGTCTCAATTCTTACTACAATTGACACTAAAACTTATTAGACTTGTTATAACTTAATCTCGAATTTTATGCATTTTCGCCTGCACTAAAAGTGAATTTCGATTGAAAAAGCTACTTTAAATTTATCAATTGAAAACGAAATAAGTGTTCATGTTTTTGAGCTAGTGCAGTAGCATAAGTAGCATACAATGCTTGAAGAATACAGTTCTTGCGCTATATATAATAATGCTATATATAGTATTATTACTGTTTCGCCACGATCTGTTAAATAAATCACACAAATTTTCCAGCCATTCATACGGCTAACTTTGTGATAATTGCTTATCATGATTCCTATAACGATGTCCAGATATCGTGTTGTGTTGAAAACCTTCCCGACCTTTTTGAAAACGTTAAAATCTTATATGAAATTATAGTTTTAATGTAGTATCTTCGTCAACTTTAGAATTTCTTTAACGTTTCGTATATTTCGCTTCAGTTAATTTTATTAAAATTTTACACAAATTGATTCAACTTATGCCCACACAATAAATCAGCAATATAATTAATCTATGTTCTGATAATTCGTTTAGGAGATATTCTACGTAATTAACACAAACGTCATTAGCAGTGCAATAAATACACAAAGAAAAGGCTTGACTTGATAGTCCAGATATGTCGTGAACAATTTCAATATCGGTTTTTTTGTGTGTTGATATTATAATATATCGCCTAAGATTAATTTCTTAATATACTTGTTGGAATTATTGATTGATGTCCAAACGTTATGATTAATTTTTCTTATGAAAAATATGTTATCTCGTCATTTTAATTACATTATTTGGCTTTCTTTGTCACTAAGAATCTAAGAATCCTGTAGGTAAGCAAATATTGATACTTCTGCTTTTCATGGAACAAACTTTTCAAGAAGAGGGAACGTTAAAAACTTTTTCTGCAAAAGAAAAAAAAAACACGCAATTTGAAGCATCATCAAATCTTTGCCTTTAAAAATGTTCAATACTTATTAAGACAGATAACATCCAAAGGTATATTCATTTAGGCATAACTTCATATTATACCTACCTCACCGCCTCCTACCACATATCAGAAATTTACTTTAAATTTTAAATGTGTTTTATTTGGTGTAATTTGCTTTCTACTTAATGAATATGTACGAGCACATGTTCTCGTACTCTCACAGGTTCTTCCGTAACTATGAACCTGGGTACATTTGCTTTACAAGATGTTCGCTCCATCGGCGCGCAGTATTCATTTGGGGAAACATATGCAATATTTTCATAACATTTTACTACCTCATTTGCCGTAATATCTGCAAAAATTTTCCGTATTTTCAGTATTTTCCTTTTTGTTTGTTTAAGGTACGAGTATCTTCAGAAAAAT